TAAGTACCTTCTTTCAACCTTTCTCCTTTCCAGTCAACTAACTCAAAATCCCTCCTTTCTGTTTACCACCTTAGCTCAGTGTCATCCTACTATTTCATAATGCACACCTAGTCTAATCTTCTTGCCCAACCATTTGATTCCCTCCCAATACCAGGATCATCATTCAGCCCCTCTAATCTCCTTGTTCAACTAGTCTCCAAACCTTTCTTCCACTGGCTTCCTGATCAGGGTGTCTCAGCCTCCTTCTCTATGTACTCTAGTGCTCAGACACCTCAGTTTATATAGCCTTTCTTCACTGATTTCTTTTCAAGTGATTTGTTTCTCTTCTGGTCTCAGTATTGCCTCATCTTAATATGTTCCTTTCATCCCTTATCTGGTTTTATTCTCCAGTCATTCAGATCAATAGGATTATTCTTAAAGCCAACAACTGTTACCTACGCTCAGTTCCTGTGTCCAGCTGTGTTTTGGTGTGGCACAATCATTACGGGGAAAGCCTTTGAGTCTGTGTAGTACCTGATCCCATTTCTTTGTTCTTGCCCAGTTATCTGGTTAACAGATAACTGACTACTCAGTCCACAGGGAGAAAGGGTGCAGAGACTGAAAAATGTCATCTGTAAGGAAATCTGTTGTGCATGATTACTTTATAGGTTGATACACTTAGCAAGAGCTGAGAGAGATCCAAATGTATTTCACGATGGTGTCTCAAGCCCTGCAGGCAGCTCTGGGCCAAGAACCATCAGAAAAAGCACAGAAATCTGGTTTTCAAAAGTCAATAATTTGACAGCGTTAAGCAAAACAGTGAAAAGTTTATTAAATAATATTACAAGGATGTTGTGTATGGATTGTTAGTGTGTAAGCCATTAGGCTCACAGACTGTCCAGTATCTCTAACATAGCTAATTAGAAGTGTTGCTATAAAAATTGCCAGCTTGTGAAACAATGGGTGGAGACAGGAATTCAACTTCAGAAACCCACTTCTGTTACCACATTGTTCCTCCATTACCTATCTTTGTTTCAGCAAGGTGAGTGTGTAGCAAAACAGTAATTGAGCAGTAACAAATGCTCAACAATAAAAAAAAAAATTAAGAAAAATTCTCCAAAAAGTATTGCATATGGAGGAGAAAATCTAATTATCCAAAAAAAGATCTGAACTATATTGACCCAGAAAACAATGATTAAAAAATGCAGTATTCACCAAGGATGGAAGTTCAGTGTAGGTGACAGCAGTTTTCAGAAATATGACAAGGAGCCGAGTTCAGCAGAGTGTAAAGATTGGACTCTCATTACTGATTTCTTGTAATTAACTAAGGAAATAGAATTACGCATGATGTACTAAAATCTTTCTTGTGTTACATTAGTATCCTTTTACATTACCAATGTTAGAAATAAACTGTAACAATACAGGTTTCATTTAAAAACTGTCTTCTTTTTCACTTTTTGATGGAAAAAAGCATTTTTTTCTTGCAAATGTTATTCTAAGTATGGTAGAAAATTGAAATGGATTCTTTCTGGCTTTCTATTTTATGTATCTAACAAAACAAAATAGTACAATTTGAGATAAGTTAGAAATAAATGTTGAGCAGTGATATAACACAGCTTTTGCATCTCCAGAAGCTGTCAGGTCAAACTTAGTTCTGATTCACTTTGGAAAAAAATAAGCATGCTGAACAGGAACCATTTCTATACCTACCTCATCCAGTCCAAAGAAGACGGGCAAATTAAGCACAAACAACTAACTGGCGCTTGATAAAAGCAGAGAACTGCATTTTGGAGGAAAAACCTAATTCTACATTTATTTCAAACAAGTTGCCAATGATAGCGATTCATGATAGAAATATCAGCATTCTAAGCATCACTGTGAACAGCACAGTGAAGACCTCTTTCCATTGTGATCTCACCACGTTACTCACAGATTTAACTTTCTGTCCAGAATGACTACCTTCCCAATCTTAAATTCCTGGGGCCCTGGGGGAGGTGGGTAGGAAAAGGGCAAGAACAGTACAGAACAAAGAAATGGAAGCCCTTCTTCTCCCTGTTCTGCAGATCAAATAAAGTTTACATCCATTTCAATGCAGAGGCCCCACTCTGCAGAGTAAACTCACAGCATAATTGGCATAATATTTCAGGGAGGTGGAGGTGTGCTTGAAACACCCACACTGGTGTTTCAAGTCATGTGAAGCAACTAAATGTGAAATCGTTCCATCTGGTTGGTATTAGTTATATTGACAAAGTTGTCTTTGGAATAATCCATATCTTTATTCATCATGCATACACTGATAAAAATGAGACGTAGCTCAGCTTCAGATGAATCATTTCCTCCTGTTAAAAGTCACGCAAGAAATTAATACTCTGGCACAGGACTTCAGCAGAACTGGCAAAATCTTATCATTTAATGCTGATGCCTCTATTAGTAGAGTATTCATTGATCTCCCTGCAAACCGTTTCAAATTCTGAAACTATAAACTGAAAGAGGCTGGATGAACATAAAAGAACACAGATTTGACAGAAGACACCATATCAGTCTCTGGAACTGTCCTTGCTCTACTAGTTAGTACAAGTAAGTTTTCAGATATCACAGTAACATCAAACAAGTGAACAATCTTGCTGAATTTATATGAACTTATATCAGGCAAGTGCAAGTCTACAGCATGGACACCAGCGCTATACAAACTACTTTCAAACTTAACTTGCATCTTACAGCTTACATCAACTTGCATAAATTAATTTCATTCCTCTGCTACCTTTCACAACACTTGCAAATTGCTCTCCCTGCTATTAATGTTACACTGAGCCTACAATAAACAACATGGTTTTCATTTAATTATTAGATATGTTGTTCTCAGAAACTAGCTGGTTGTTGTATGCCAAGTGCCAACAGCAAATAATACAGGTTCTTCCTGTTCGAAGAAAAAAACAAATCAGAGCATCTTCTCATTTGTTAACCCAGAGTCCATTTAAAGTAGATGTATTCACATGGGTTACTAGTTGGACAAAATACTCCATACAAGTTTCTAGTATTCCCATCTTAAAACTATTCCCTAAAACTCAACAGGTTAAAATCAATATTGAGTGAGAATATGATTTCAGAATCTAAACTGTTGTAGCAGTTTTATCACTGCTTTTTATTAAACAGACATTTAATTTATTGTGAAATTGAAGCACAACATATTTTGCCCAAACAAGTATTTCAGGAGTTGCACTGAAAAAATTGTCAGGGAGTGGATCCAGGTTAAAAATTAAAAGCTTTCAACTTCTATCTGTCCTCCAATGTTCTAAATTATTTCATAATCTGGTTTCATAAACCAGCATAACTGAAAATATGGCACCCTGTATAGAAAACAGCAGCTGGGCCGGGAAGTGCTGAGGTGGGTACTGCTGATTAACTCGTCAGACAACAGACCACAACCTAATTTTGCTGTTATGAGGTATCCTTATTTCAATTACTGGATTTGAGGCTTTAATAGTAAATATGCTTTTTCTATTCCTAGACATTTCAGTCTTCCATAGCACAGTCTCAAGTTTAAATGGCTTTCTCTCTATGAATGTTTTTACATAGCTAATGAGAAGTTTGAACTATACCATTAACCATATCAAAAGCACAGGTCTCAATTTGATCTTGCTTCTTCAGGGAGGCTATGCATGCCATTGTTAACACAGATGACACTCTTGGTAGCTTGCTTTGTTTTCTTCTAAGCTCTGGCTTTTACATTTGAGATACATCTGAACTTATGTTGTCATTATCTGCTGCCCTGAAAAACTTTTCCAGTTGACTTGTACCAAGAATGCTGAGAACACAAAGTGACCACAACATGCGGAGTACTGAAATGCAGCAGATCTCAAATTGCAGAACAAAGAAGGAACTTCTGCCACAAAAGCATTTGATCAGTGTGGGTGATTTTACCACAAATATGCGCACCCATGAGTGCTGTTGGAAACTGATGAAGTAATGGATCAATAAAAACCTCGTGTTTTGGACTAAGTGCCCGTTCATCAGTTCCACTGCAAAGTTTTTTTGATAAAAAACAACATTGAAAAAATAAAGACAGTAGATTGAACAGTGAGAGAACTTGATGCATGAGACAAGGTTCCTAGAAGATGACAGGCATTTGTGAAATCACTTAAAGACGAAGTAGAAAATAAACAAAATAGAGGATATGGTACTGGGTAAACTCAAAAAGGGGTAAGGACAGAAGATAAACTTAGTAGAGCACAAGTCGTGCAAACAACAAAGGTCAGCGTGGCCTGACTAGATGGACATTGTATGTACACAGTGTTGGGCTATATCTGAAAGATGGCTCAGTGGAAGGGTATGACCAACCTAAGTTTATGGAGGGAAGAGGATCTGTAAAAAGTCTCAACGCTACACTGCTCTTGATCCCAGCACAGAGATGAAAAGTGGCAGAGATGAAAACTGTACCACAAAGAAAATTTCTAGACTTTCATTTTCATAATGATTTGAATGTATGCATTTTTTTTTTGATGAGGATATTACTGATTTTTAGCTTTTCAGATTTACCTACTACCAAAATATCTAAAACTTCAGAAACAAACAAACAAAAAAAAAAAAACCCAACAAACACCCACCAAGATAGGACCCTCAACTCTGAGCAATATAGAGAGCAAAATTTTGATGCACAATAACCTTCATCATGTTTTGCGATTCTGATGCATATTTTCCAGGGGATCAGAATACACATGGCATAGTTCACACCAACGTACCGATGCTTTAAAGAGATTACCAAGCCGTCCAAAGACGCACAAGTCAGTGCCAGAGAACTAGATCGAACAGCCCTTTCTCCAGTGCTCTGGAACATGCGAACAACTTGTTCTGAGACCCCAGCGTCGGCACCAAGAGACAAACCTGCCCCAGGTGCGACGACAGCGATGCCGGCCCGGGTGTTTGTGCAGGGACTCGTAGGAAAAGCACCTACGAGTAGAACAGGTTCCGCGGGGGCGGGCCGTGCGGCTCTGCCTCGGCAGGGGCGGCTTTTCTATACTCACACTGGCAACATGTTCCTCTCTGCTGAAAGTTAAGCTTGGCGGCTCTCTCAGGGCCCTAAAAGAAAGACAGTATGGCAACACTGACGTGAAAGTCTTCCTGGAAGGGTTATTTCGCGCCGCCTTTACCCGTGTATGACACTGGGGACTCACACGGCCGTACAGCTGCGCAACGAGCCGCGCACGCGGTCAGGAGCCGCCAGGCCGAGGTGCCGGAGGGAGAAGACGGGAGCCGGGCACGCCGCGCCCTCGCGGCCCCTCAGAGGCGCCCGTCCGCCGGCCCGCCCGTCCCCTTTCGCCCGCTGCTCGCGGGGCGGCGCGGGGGCGCTGCCGCTGCGGGGAGATTGGCGGGAGCGCTGGGCGGGAGCGCCGCCCGTTGCACAAGCCGCCGCCTCTCCGCTCCCGAGGCGAGCCCCGGCGCGGCGCTGACGGCGCGCACCGGCAGACGGACGGCCGCCCCGCGGCCGGCGGAGGCGAGGCCGGCGCGCCCCGCCCCTCGTCCCGGCATTCCCTGCGCCCGCTCGGCACGGCTCGGTTCGGCTGCGGCTCTGCGGCTGCACTCGCGCCATGGCTGCCTACAGCAAGTTCCTCACCGTGCGCCATTCCGCCATCGTCGGCGGCACGGCCGCCGCCTGCGCGCTGCTCTGCCTGCTCAACAAGCGGCGGGCCGCGGCCCAGCACGGGTGAGCCGGGCGGGGGCGCGGAGGGCCGGGGGCGAGCCGCGGTGCTGCGCGGGGACGGAGCGGGGCCCGGAGGCCGGGCCCGGGGCTCTCCCTGCCGCGGGGCTCCTGCCTCCGCCCTCGGGGCCGTGTCCTGGGGAGGAGGCGGCGGCCGCTGCCCCCGTCCGCGGAGCCGCGGCACGCCCCGGCTCCGCTGCTCGAGTTGTATTCGCTTTCTCGGTTTTCCCAGCTCGTGCTGGGAAAGAGTTAAACGCTTAGGTTTGTCCTGCGTGCACAGGTAATAACGGCGCGGGTTATTGTGGTGCCCGCCGACAGCCGTAGCGGAGATAGCGCCTGCTTGGGCTACCCGCGGGGGGTCTCAGCTGTGTGTGCTGGGACGGGAGTCTGCCGCCCTGGGGAGCACTGGGTACCGGGGCGTGAGGTGGGTGGAGAAGATGCTCCAGGCTCAGCCCTTGCGCGGTGCTGGCGGATCTGTGGACCTCAGTCGCCGGCCGTGTGCTGAAGACCTGGCGTGTACAGTTAGATATCGTGTAATTGCTGGAACCCCATCCTGGTGCTAAACAGATGGTGAAATGGACTTACTCAATAGACTTAAGCAATTACATACCTGTAGTTAAGCAACGACCTAGTGTTATTTTACCTAATTCCTTTCATGCAGGTGGTATCTTTGAAGCTTTCTGAAGTTAGGTAACTTTGTCATACAACACACATAAAACGTGAGCAACACAGGGCTTCTTGGAATTTGCTATGTTATGTTGTTTGCATGGGAGTGGAAACAAGATCCTGAACTATTGATGATGGTTTGTTCTTCTGTCCAATTCATAGGGAAGGGTGATATTTTCCAGTTATCTCTGCTGAATTTAGTCAAACACCTTCCGTAAAAGGGTGAAAAGCTGTATAGATGGGCTTGAAAGGTGAGAGGGTTACTGATATGTACTACAAGCCTTTCCTACTTAGTGTATTGTAATGCTGTCTGTAAGAAAGACTGGGTCAGGCAGACATTCTAGGAGAATCTATGTTTGAACTGCAGACTAAAAATATGCTTTTGAAGTGAACCTTTTAATTGTCCACGCTTCCCTTGCTTTCTCTTTGTTGAGGAGTGAACTTAGTGCACAGTTTTGGGTTATGTTTGTTTTGGAGCACACCTTCAGCTGTAGATTGAGGTCAAATGTAGTTTTGAAGCACACTTAATATACTTCTGAGATACATATAATGTAGGTCCTGGGTTGTACCTGAACTGTCTGTGTTGCAGGTTTCTTGATGTTGATCTGCTGGACTCAACAAGGACAGAGCCGTGAGAGTTGAGTGTGAACGTAGTGAAACTGAATTCTTGCTTAAATGTTGAAAATTGTATTTGGAATGTATTCCTCCTGTAGGAATCTTATGATTTTGCTACGTACAGTGTTAAAAGTCTGAGTTATTTGTACGTATTAGGTGGACCACACACTATTATGTTACTGTCTGGTGTAAAGTGGAGATGATTCATACATTTAGCAGTTGAATGGAGTTGAGGTGGTCTGACCTGACGTGACCTATACCTTTTTCCTCTTTCTATACTACAGTTATCGTCATACCTCTTTATTACTGCTGTAATCTGCCTCTCTTATGCCGTTTTGCTTTCTCAAATCTATCTAGAATTGCAGTTTCTAAAATAAGCACCATGTTGCTAGCTAGTTTGTACCTATGCAACTACTGCTTTAGGCTTTTGAGGTGCTCTGTTGCATAGCTCTTATTATTGCTGCTATGCTGGGGCTGTGAATTACAAACTCTATATCCACTATTCAGTTGTTTCGTAGCCAGATATGCTGCTCCTTTTCTTGAGGGTGATATTTGCCCATTGGTCTTCCTTCTTTTCTCCAAATTTTCCTTGTGAGGCAGCCCTTGCCAGGAGCATCATAAAATGCTGCCTATCAAGAAGAGGCAGTAAGCAAGTTACATTGTCTACACCACAAAAGCAACCACATATTACCATTGCCTCATCCTCTTTTAGTCTTGTTAGTTTATGTATCATTCATTTCCTAATGCTTTGTTGCTAATGTAAATTATAGCATACTTTTGGACTGTCACTGTGCCAGATTTTTATATTCCAGCATACTTGTGCTGGTATACAGTACTGACATACAAATAAGTGGTAAGTCTGCATGTAATAATGGTTAAAAATTTCTAAGGCCTAGTGTGCCATCTAATTTTTGTGTCCACTTTAGAAAGATGGAGAAAAGGGGCTGTCTTAAATTTTACTTTTCTGTAAGAAGAATTTTTTTGTCAATCTAGATAATCTAGATTGTGGCATACTTGCAGCTTGAGGCTAACTGAAGTGTGTCAGTAGTGGCAAACTGTAGTGTTATTTATGTGAGTGCCTTTGTTTACCTTAGTATGTAAAGCATGAAAATGTTGTCTTGTGTGTGTCACATGAATTCGCATGAATTTCAGCTTCTTGAATTCTGGAAGGTGAAATTGTGTGATGAATATCAATATTGTAGACTTGAGACCAGCATTTTGCTGTGGAAGTGCAAAATGTATATGTAGAACTTACTGTTAGTATATATCCTTACATGTATTTCTATCTCATACTGATATACTATTATATCATGTTTCCCTGGAATAAATGTCTTTTTTATATTTCTACTGGAATGCTGGTGGTGGTTCTGTATCACTGCTGGCCAAAATTGAGAAGTAAAACAAGATAAAATGCAAATTAAAAAAAAAAAAGACTACCAAACATAGCAAATCAAATGTTTGTTTGTTGAATGTGTAACACAACAAAACAGGCTTACCTTACACAGACTTCTCAGATTGTGTGTGTTAATTTTGATAGGGAATAGTCAGCTACAGAAACTACTGTAGGAAGAAGAGGCAACTCTCATTTCTGCTGTCAGACAGTAGGGGCAAAGTCTGGTACAACTCATATCAAGTAGTAAGGTATGAATAATTAAGCTGGATGTTACGCTAGCCTACCTTAGTAGGTCAAAGATCACGTAATTAGTGTTAGTTGGATTAGTCACAGCTGTCCTTCTGTAGGACCTATTACATTGCTCATCAGTTTTGCAGAACTGAGAGGCTGTATCACTTGCAGTTGACAGTAAATTTCATCTACAAATTTCTAAAATCCTCAAAAAAAGTTCAGTACAAAACTGTTGGCATGTAGTAAGAAGCTCAGTGGTATTCCACATTGCTTTCTGTGCTTTAGTCGAGGCAGTAAAAATGCCCTGTTTTTCCATTTGTGTTGCTTTTCTCCAAATCAAGTCTGTTTCATTAGAAAACCTTTCATTACTTGGGAGGGAGGAAGTTGTTGCATGTAAATGCAATAATAACCCGAGCTGTGGTATTTGGAGTGCTTTTATAATGGAAAAAAATGTTGTCCTGTTTGGGAAACTACATAATTCTGGATATGTAATACAGGAGAAACCAATCATGACTTAAATTTGCCAGGAGCGATTCTTACAATATAAGGGATTTCAGTGCTGATGATTTTTTTGACCACTGAAAAACTCACTTCCGTTTAGGGGAATTACTCATAAAATCTGCATTAAAGACCAGTGATTCTGTTCCCTCCACCCTCACTATTGAGCATTGTAGAAAGATTTGAAGAACAGAAGAAAGAAGGAAGACAAGTGGAGGTCCCATCAAGTAGTCTTTGTACTTTGTCCTCTGTCTGCTAAAACAACAAAACATTTAATGCCCAAGATCTTGTCACTGAGCAAGATCTGAAAAGGCTGGTTTTTGGAGTTGGTGTTTTCTTTTAACTAATAAACAGTACTGAAATAGAACTACTCAAATAATCTGTAGCATTTTCCTAACTGATGATGTGTTCTGGTGCATTACAAGTACTGTTTGGCTGTATGCAAACACAAATAGCAAATATTTCATTTTAGTAGCTGCTGTTACTATGGGATAGCAATTTGTTGCTAAGAATTACTATTTTAATTGAATGCAGATGGCTTCAAATTTACTGACAATGCATGAATGTAGCTTGTAATTCGTATTTTTTGTGACATGAAAGAAACCAACCCAACGAGCGACTGAAACAGCTGAAGCAGTTTGGTTCATGTAAACTTTTTTCTTCTCTAAACACAGACTGTAAGCTCATATTGGATACTGACAGTCAAAAAACTGGTAGATAATGAAATAGGGTTATACACAGTATAGGACTGACTGTAAAAGGAAGGAAAAAGGAAAACCTATGCTGTGTAATGCTTAAAGTAAGATGAAGTTATTTTTCATTTGCAAAAGTCTAACCCCACGTCCTGTGAGCTTTGTCTTACATGTTAGACATCACTGCCTAAAACAAGAAGCTTAAGATTTGATTGCTTTAGAAATAAAACCTTAGTGGGTGGTACGTAAATGAGCTGGTTGTTTGTGGTTCTCTCACTCTAGTGGGAATTGTTCCTTAGTCTCTTTGTAGTTGGAAGCAAAGTAATTGCACAAATGACGAGTGTACTTGGATTATTTTCAACAAGTATTGAACACATACAGGTTTCTGCTGGAGAAGGGACCTGAAAGGAGTTGCAGGAAGTACTTTCGTAAAGAGTTTGGAACTACAAGGTTTGGGAAAGAGAATAAGCTGAATATAGTAGGAATTTTTAGTGTATGGAAGGTGAGAAGATGTTTAGAATCTGCTCGTAGACACACTGGCCTTCCCTATCACCCAGTACATCTATTAAAATCCAAGTGGATGCTGGTTTATGGAAGCTTAATTTTGTATACATTAAACTTTTGAAATCCAAGTGATTTCTGCCCCTTCTACGAAGAAAAAAAATGCTTAAAGGAAGAAAAATATTTGCCTGGAGCTTCAGAGATCAGATTGGGCCAAAGTGAGGAGCTGTTGATGCAATGAATATGAAGCAGGCTTTTACACAGGCCATCTTAGGTGATGTGTGACCGCTGCACTTTGCTATCACTGGGCTTCTCAGCCTTCTTCCTCTCAGGGAGTGGAAGCTGATGTTTGTCAGGACTGCCCTTGAACTTGACAGTGATTCATATAAGTAAACTGGAACTGATAAAAA